TACATGAGGCCAACAATCATATGAAAAAATACTCATCATCACTGGTCATTAGAGAGATGCAAATCAAAACCACATTGAGATACCATCTCACGCCAGTTAAAATGGTGATCATTAAAAAATCTGGAGACAACAGATGCTGGAGAGGATGTGGAGAAATAGGAACACTTTTACACTGTTTGTGGGAGTGTAAATTAGTTCAACCATTGTGGAAGACAGTGTGGCGATTCCTCAAGGCCTTAGAAATAGAAATTCCATTTGACCCAGCAATCCCATTACTGGGTATATATCCAAAGGACTATAAATTGTTCTACTATAAGGACACATGCACACGAATGTTCATTGCAGCACTGTTTACAATAGCAAAGACCTGGAACCAACCCAAATGCCCACCAATGATAGACTGGACTGGAAAAATGTGGCACATACACACCATGAAATATTATGCAGCAATCAAAAATGATGAGTTCATGTCGTTTGTAGGGACATGGATGAATCTGGAGAACATCATTCTCAGCAAACTGACATAAGAACAGAAAATGAAATACCGCATATTCTCACTCATAGGCAGGTAAGGAAAAATGAGAACACATTGACACAGGGAAGGGAGTACTACACACTGGGTTCTATTGGGGGGAATAGGGGAGGGACAATGGGCGGGGGAGCTGGGTAGGGATAGCCTGGGGAGAAATGCCAAATGTAGGTGAAGGGGAGGAAGGAAGCAAAACACACTGCCATGTGTGTACCTATGCAACTATCTTGCATGTTGTGCACATATACCCCAAAACCTAAAATGCAAAAAGAAAAATAATTAAAAATAATAAAGTTAAAATATATTATTATTAAATGGCATGCAAACTAACGGATGTTACTAAATAATGTCACAAAGCCCATAGGAAAATATTCTGTAAAATGTATTATTTAATCTAACACCTTTGATAAAATTATTTTCTATGATTTATAGTTAATTTTCATATATAGTTTAAAGCAGCTTTAGATTCTCAACCCAACTTCTTCTTCTCCTTTTTTTTGTTGTTGAGCTGGAGTCTTGCTCTGTCACCCAGGCTAGAGGGCAATGGCACAATCTTGGCTCACTGCAACCTCAATCTCCCGGTTTCAAGCAATTCTCCTGCCTCAGCCTCGTGAGTAGCTGGGATTACAGGCATGTGCCTCCACACCCAGATAATTTTTATTTTTAGTAGAAACGGGGTTCCACCATGTTGACCAGGCTGGTCTCAAACTCCTGACCTCAGGTGATCTGCCTGACTTAGTCTCCCAAAGTGCTAAGATTACAGGTATGAGCCACCATGCCCAGCAACACAACTTCTTTATTTAAAATGTTTTAAATCAATCTCTACTATCTTTTACTTTTGACAATATGAAGAAGATACAGCAACAATGCATAAAACAATTCCCTTTTCCTGGGTATTTTTGCCTATTTCCTGTAAATGTGGCAAGAAGCAATTAAATGTCTCAGTCACAATTTAGGCAAATGTCTCTGCCTAGATTGCCTTAGAAATGGGGCTGGGCATGGTGGCTCATGCCTGTAATCACAGCACTTTGGGAGGCTGAGGTGGGCAGATCATGAGGTCAAAAGCTCAGCACTATCCTGGCCAACATGGTAAAACCTCATCTCTTCTAAAAATATAAAAATTAGCTGGGCGTGGTGGTGCGCACCTGTGATTCCAGCTACTTGGGAGGCTGAAGCAGGAGAATCGCTTGAACCTGGGAGGTGGAAGTTGCAGTGAGCTGAGATTGCACCACGGCACTCCAACCTAGTGACAGAGTGAGACTCCATCTCAAAAAAAAAAAAAAGTTAAGTAATGGAAGAGATTTTAATCCTTTTTAACAACTTCAAACAACTTCAAACTACTGAGTTCTTGACTACAGTCCACTAAACTATGTAACTAAGAACAGTCATGCACTGTCTAATGACATTTTGGTCACTGACAGACCACATATATCTCAGTGTTCCCATAAAAATGTGATGAAACTGAAAAATTCTGATTGCCCAGTGACACTGCAGCCCTTGTAACATCATAGTGCAATGCATTACTCATGTATTTGTGGAGATGTTAGTATAGCCAAATCTACCATCTACCAGTTGTATAAAAGTACAGCAAACTCACCAGCAACTGTTGTTTTTTGACATTTTAATAGCCATTCTGATGCCTGAGATGGTATCTCAATTGTGCTTTTGCCTTGCATTTCTCTAATGATCATTGATGCTGAGATTTTTCATATGTTTGTTGGCCACATGTATGTCTTCTTAAAAGAAGTGTCTGTTCATGTCATTTGCCTACTTTTTAATGGGGTTATTTTTTCTTATAAATTTGTTTAAGTTCCTTGTAGACTCTGGATATTATATCTTTGTCAGATGGATAGATTGAAAACATTTTCTCCCATTCTGTAAGTTGTCTGTTCACTCTGATGATAGCTGCTTTTGCTGTGCAGAAGTATTTACTTTAATTAGATCCCATTTGTCAATTTTTGCTTTTGTTGCAGTTGCTTTGGTATTTCGATCATGAAATCTTTACCCATGCCTATATTCTGAATGGTTAATCAAAGACTGGATAAAGAAACTGTGGTACATATATACCATGCAATACTATGCAGTCATAAAAAGAAACGAGATAATGTCCTTTCCAGGGACATGGATGGAGTTGGAAACCATTATCCTCAGCAAACTAATGCAAGAACAGAAAACCAAACAATGCATGCTCTCACTTTTAAGTGGGAGTTGATTGATGAAAACACATGGACACAACGACACATGCGGGGGAACACATACTGGGAGCCTTTGCGGGGGCACTGAGAAGAGGGAGAGCATCAGAAAGAATAGCTAATGGATGCTGTCCTTCATACCTAGGTGATGGGATGATATGCGCAGCAAACCACTAAGGCACGTATTTACCCATGTAACTTAAAAGTTGAAGAAGAAAAAAAGTATAGCGCATGCAGTTATGTACAGCACATAATACTTGCTAATGTTAATAAATGACTATATTACTGGCTTAATTACTGTATTTTACTTTTTATTGTTATTTGAAAGTGTATTCCTTCTGCTTATTAAAAAAACGTTAACTGTTAAACAGCCTAGGGCAGGTCCTTGTAAGTATTCCAGAAGAAGGCTTTGTTATCATAGGAGATGACAGCTCCATGCCTGTTATTGCCCCTGAAGACATACTAGTGGGCCAAGATGTAAGACAGAAGACAGTGATATTGATGATCCTGACCCAGTGTAGGCATAGCCTTATGTGTGTGGTTGCATCTTAGTTTTTAACAAAAAAGCTAAAAAAGTTAAGACAATTTTAAATAGAAAAAAGCTCATAGAATAAGGATACAAAGAAAGAAAAATATTTTTGTACAGCTATACAATGTGTTTGTGTTTGAAACCCAGTGTTACTACAAGAGAGTCAATAAGTTTAAAAAATAAAAGCTCATTAAGTAAAAACTTACAGTAAGCTAAGGTTAATTTATTATTGAAGAAAAAATATTTTAAAATACATTTAATATAGCCTAAGTGTACAATGATTATAAAGTCTACAGAAGTGAGTAGTAATTTCCTAGACCTTCACATTCACTCATCATTTACTCACTCATGGACTCACCCAGAGCAACTTACAGTCCTGCAAGCTCCATTCATTGTAAGTACCTTATACAGCTATACCATTTTAATATTTTATACCATATTTTTAACTTAACCTTTTCTATGATTAGGCATGTTTAGACAAACAAATGCTTACCATTGAGTTACAATTACCTACAGTATTCAGTACGGTAACATGCCATACAAGTTTGTAGACTGGAAACAACAGATTACAGTACATAGCCTAGGATGTGGCAGGCTGTACCATCTAGGTTTGTGTAGGTACACTCTATGCTATTCACTCAATGATGAAATAGCATAACCATGCATTTTCAGAAGTATCCCTTTCATTAAGAGACACATCACTGTCAACTGAGGAGGAAGTAGAAGACTAAACCTAACATGGAAAACCCAGCTTATCTGATGATGTTTGGTGAATTTCACATGTATGATAGGCTAAGCAGCAAACTATATATTATGAATTTTTTTCTAATTTCACTCACTATTAATTGCAGTTCAATAAAACCAAATTAATCTTTGGACCTAATAGTATGTGTACATATACTTTATAACTGTGAAGTAGGAATGAAATATTTTCCACTTTTTGTTATGTTAAAATTTCATATTATATATGAAGATATATACTTTCATTAGATATAAGCTAGATGCATGCACATGTTATCCAAATTGGTTAGTGCAATCACCTCAACATATTTATTTGTATTTTTAATGCCATCATTCTATTTGTACCAAAGAGACTACTAAGTTCAGTCACATTTACTGTTACTTAATTTTTATAACAGATAAATAATGAAGCCTAGTTTAAAATGAGATTTCGGCTCATGTTTCAGTGCTCCTCCAACTGAGGCATATTTCCTGCATTCAAGGTTTTGGTTTCATTTGGTGTTCATTTTTGATTTGAGTACACAAGGAGACTTTTATTGCTCTAAAGCTTTGGAGTTCATTCACAGATCATATTTTTTCTACCTTATCATTTTGCATAGGAGGAAAGTGAAGGCCAATCTGAGAAAGCCACACAGAGACAATGACAGGACTAGAATTTTAGCCCTGCCATCTTTAGATAACATCTTGAGATAAAGACATTTTATCTGGAAGATCACAGCTTAACCTCAGTAGACAATCACAAGGATACTTCAATGGATATATATATATATATTTTTTTTTAATATAAAATATTGAAAATACATATATATTTTTCTCTAGGCATATAAAAGTACACTTAATTGAGATGTATTTTAATTTTTTTAGGATACATTTCTAAACTCGTCTTAGTAAAGCTCTCAAACCCAAAACAGCCCAGCCCACTGGCAACCTGGTGTCCCAATACATTTTCATTGAATAAGAACAATGTGATGTCCACAAGAAAGAGATTTCACAGGAATGTTGTGCTTACCTTCATAAGTCCCACTTTCTAGGAGAGCGCCACTTTTCTCCAATTCCATAAAATCTTCAACAGTGATGAAAATATAATCCACTCCAGGGACCTCACCCTCCTTATGTGGCCTTGTGGTGCCTGAATAAGGAAAAGTAAAAACAAAAGAAAGACGCTGAGTGATTTGTGGTTGAACTTTAAAAATACCACCATATTTCTGAATATTCAGTGCCACTTGTTTGTACATCTGGAAGTTGGCACTTCGCATTTGTCCTTCTGTTTGTTTGGCAACAGAAAACAGCAGGGGGTATAGATTAAAGTAAATGTACAAAGCACTTTTCTTCATCAGGCTTATAAAGAGTTCATTGCCATGGAATATGGATGCATATATTTTTCAGTAAAAAATGAAGAACACTGTGCCCTTTTTGAAGAGGTGGTTTGAATATTGGGTCAGCAGCCTGCTAGTTCAGGAATTTATGTATTTCACTCTGTGAATGAACCTCTATTGTCCTGCAAACTGCTGTGCTATGACATAAAATACAATGGAAACTAGTGATCTTAGAAAAATGTCCATTTATCTTTTTATTTTCATAATCTGCTTTTCTTGAGGGAAACCGTTTGTTGGTTTTCATTTGTTAAATTTTGCATCTAAAGCCATTTTTATTTGATTTAAAGGATCACAAAACCTTTACTATTACTTAAAATTAAATAATAATTAGAATTGTGTAATAATTCTAATAATCACTAGTAATTGTGATGCTGGGAATACAGTATCTAATTTGACAAGAGGAAACTTTCTCTGCCTCCATCATACAAGCCCTCCCTTATGCGACCTTCTCTCTTTCCTTACTACCTCTAATTCTGACTGAATTGGGAAGTAACTCCCTACCAGGGTTTACTGCTTGGGACCACTGTTCCCGACCCCTCCATCACCAGTAGAGGGAATGAAGCTATGAGGGTCAAGGTGACAAGATTATCAGCTGCTCAGACGGTGGCTCAGTCCAGCTCTCCTGGAGAATACACACTTTCAGGCATGCTGTCCAGTTTGTGAGGCAAGAGCAGAAGCAGAGGCATATTCAAGGCTGCAGGTTTGTTTCCAGGTAATACTTCCTTCCCTGAATGTGCCCTAGGCTTCTTCCTTTTTCTATGCCACCTACATAAGGCATTTTGCATGGTCAAACTGGAATTTACATAATGTATACATGCAAATAAGTATGCAGAAATATACAGAGGCCAAATATATAAGCAAGGTAGTACATTGGCTGACTTCATATATAAAGACTCCTCCATGTTGTCTATATGCTAAAAAAGCATTTTAAATCCTTAAACTTTATTTTTATTCTCTGCATTTGAAATCTTTATCAGCTAGCTCATGAAAATAGCCAGTCAGTTCTCCTTTTGGTCTATTAAAATCAAATCTGGATTGCAACTAAGAAGCAGAAGCTAATGTCAGAATGTATAATATGCCAGGGAAATCTGATTTTGAGTAAAAATGAATAATTCCTATTGTAAACATTTTTAAGATTTGAAGTTATTATTTCTTAAGTTTTATAACTTGTCTTTGGGGGTTGCAAAACAATTTTTTTCCATAATCATGTTTAATGACTTTCCCTGAATTGGTTATTTTGTTTAACTGAGACACATTTTGCAATATTTCCTACTGCTTTTATGCTATAAAATACAAGCCATCTACACAGAGTATGCATAATATTGTCAAATTAATGCTTCTATGAGAACGTTAGCTTTCAATATCTTGGCTTTTATGTGCTTAACTCTTGTGAATTAAAAGTGCATTAACATGGGTTTTGGCAATCAATTTATATTTCTGTTTATTTAGAACACAATTTAATCATTAAGAAAAAAATCACATAACAAAGACTCAATTTTTCTTACTAATTTATCTGCAGATTTCAGAAGCTGCACACTTTAATTTACTGCTTGCAGTATGATAATGCATTCCTAGCACCATGTGAGCACCAGGATCACATGACTGAGGGCAATTTCCAGGGCTGCTGATTGTTTGGAGTAACATGGCTATACCAAATTTTAGTGAACATTCAGAGTTGTGCTCTTCTTGGGAGGCCCATCAGTACTGTCAGTTCACTAAACTGCTTTCCATCTCCATCTTGCCCTTCAGACCTCTGTGACCAAGTTCTTCCTCTGTGATAGGTGACATCAGTCAGTGTCACCTATTACTATTGACCCAGCTAATGCTGGACTGAGAGTTCGCCTACCTCATCGTGGCTTGAAGTTCTCCTCTACAATCTCAAATGCTGCAACCTTCATCTTTGACATCAGTCTCTGATACTTTCTTCCTATTTTGTTCTTCTAATTATGACCTCTAGTCCCTGATCTCTTGCAGTTTCCCTGATGTTCCCCAAACCTAACTTTACTTGCCTCCCTAACTATCAAAGGACTAGGGAAAAAAACAGAATCTCTTCCTTTCTTTAGTCCACCTTCATCATTTCCTGACTAATAATTAATCCCCAGGTTCACTACTGGTTATTTCATGTATTGAGAGCAGTTGCTACAGAAAAACATAAACTTTCTCTTACAAGGTACTCGACAAATTCAGGTCACTTAAAGTGAGTTTGATCCTCTTGATGACTGGTAATTCTTTTATGTGCGTCTTCTTGTCTCTCTTATATATTCCCATCATTTTCTAATGTTCAACTGCTTGGACATTTTGTAGAAGACATGAGCTTATTCTTTCTAGGTAAAGTAAAGGATACTCTGAAACCAAATACCCTAAAGTTTCCTAATTTTCATTTTTTAACTGCATTATCTTCATAGTTTTCCTTCAAAATTAAGCCTGTATTGAAATTATCTTCCATCTTGCTAAGACTAATTTCTTTTCCTTTACTTTCTTTTAGGATTTAGTTTTTATTCGTCAAAGTTGCATATTCTACCCTATTTCTGGTGCTGGTTAATTACTTGCTACTGTTGAGTCTTGCTTTGCTGTCAACTATTCATAATCTTTTAAGTTGCAAAAGCAACTGTAATTATTTCAGCATAAAAATGAGTAAGTATTTCAAGAAATTTAACTGTTTCTCCAGTCTAGATATTAATTACCTTTAGCTATAAATTAGCATTGGACCATACTTCGTTTCATATCACATATATTTTCCTTATTTTTAGAATCATGTTACTTTCCAGAGAGGTGTTCATAGGTCTCCAGTTGCTTTTTCCTTCTTCACCCACTGCCTTGCCAGTTGACTTAACATCCCTTCTTCCCAGACACATAGATCTAAAATCCTGCTTTCTGGCTCTTGTTGTAGGTGCTATGCCTGCAGGTAAAATTAAACGACGCACTAATCAGGTTTTATGAGCACTTTCACACTTTTCAGATGACTCGGCAAATGGCAAAAAACTTTTAGCAGCCTAGGCCGTTGGCATTACCTGTTTTACTGTCTGTTTGCAAAAGACAAAAGACCCTTGTAAATAGTGACCAAGCCATCACATACTACATCCTAGTGTGTAATCAGACAAAATGGATTTATATCTTGACTCATGTTTTTTTCGTACCCAAACAGTAAAAAAGGCAATTTGTATCTTTAGGCATAAATTTATTCTCCTTTATAATAAGTGTTAGCCTGAATGAAGTTGAGTGATTTAAAGCTTTGATTATAATATATTCCAAAAGTAAGATACCACCAATGATATTTGTGAAATTGTAGTATTCTTAGTAGCACTATTAATATTGCTTAGAAATAATACTGATATTGTTGGCATGGTGTTTATGCTTTTATTTTTTATAATGCCCTTTTTATATCTATTATTTCCCTCAGTGCATAAGAAAATTTTTATCTAGGATGACATAGGTAAAATATTAAAACAAAAATACAATGCAGATGTCCTCAATTTTTAATCTAAGAACCTTTTTAATCACACCATTCTTTCACTTAAAAAAAAATTTATTTTAGGTTCTAGAGATACATGTGAAGGTTTGTGACATAGATAAACTCATGTCAATAGGGTTTATTGTCCAGATTATTTCCTCACCCAGGTATCAACCCCAGTACCTAATAGTTACCAGCACCAGGAATAGGGTGGAAGATGTGAAGAATAAAAGAGGGGCCATCGATGATTCATAATAGAGCTGAAGCTCACTTTCTTTTATTGCTTGTCTGTTTTGGTTGGGACTTACCTAACAGGTGTATAGGAAACTCCAAAGTAAGTTTTACTATCCAAATTATGATTTATATATTTTATTATTATTTATTCCAGATGACTCCTCCAAAGGAAAAATAAATAGAACTGAAAGAAAGAAATGCTACTAAGTTGAGGCTTTGTTTCATCTTTTGTTGCTTAATTTCTTAAAAAACAAAATTGTTTATTTATGAATTGCTAACTTAAGTATGGTAAGAACCACCTCCTTCAAGAATTAATGAAAAACATACAGTAATTCTGCTCAAAAGATATGTCTAAACAAAATGCATTATCTCCCAAATGGGTAGCTTACTGATACACAGTGAAATCACATGAAGATGACTTGTCATTTTGTTGCCATAGTAACTGGGGGTGCCAATGGAATTTTTTTTTTTATTAATCTACTTTTTAATGAAGGAACATTGCTCTTTTTGTCTTAGGAAGAAAAGGACATGACATTTGTGGTAAATATAATTCTAAAGTGTATTTCTCGTCAGCTTTCTGCTATTTCCTAGTTTTAGTAAAACACTTTTTTTCAAAACAGTCACCAGCATGGCAGAAAGTATTATTACTTAGATGACGGTCCACCGCAGTCATCTATTGCGATCTATTCTGATATACTAAAAATTCCATAGTGCTTGCTGCATGGTGGGTACCCAATACATATTCCCTAAAGGAACAGACTTGGAATTAATCATTAAGTCAATGTATTCTAAGCAGATGGGTCACTGTGTGAGAATGTGAGAAACTGAATTCTGTTCTTATTCATAAATTCCCCTTCTTCCTGGTGTTTTCAACTGCAAGCTGGAAAAAATAAATCTTGACAGCTAGGGTGATTTCCTCTCTATTCAACCTTTGATTAATTAACTCTTAGATTCTTGAAGACACTAAAGTTTGTCAGTTACTCATCAGCAAGTATGAACATAATCACCAGATTTGTGTGTGCTGCCAATAAATACATATATCAGACAGATTCTTTTGGCCAATGTCTG